AAATGAGTAGTACAGTCAAAATAAATATGAGAAAAATATTTTATCATATCAAAATACTTAGAAATACGAGTACATGCCATATTTTTGAGTAAAACAAAATGTACGTTCTAAGAACTATGTCGGCCATATGACGCCCTTGAGCCGAATTTGGGTTACTTTTATAACATATAAATGAAAATGTGCTTCATCATTCATAAACAACGTCATGTCATTGTTATTCAACTGTTCAATCATGAGCTGTGCAAAATTAACACGTTGTGCATAATCCCCTGGCAACAGTTGTTGACAAACTTGAATTTTGTAAGGATGGAACACTAAATCCTTCTTCAAGATGTGACGCGTGGATCCCTAGTGAACTGGCATTCAAACGAACGGAACGATTCGGGATTTGCAGCGTGTCAACTCTCACTCTATCTACGTTTTCGGTTCTAACAGTACGATTTCGCCCTGGCGGTTTTTTCATCACACTACCTGTTGTGTTGAATGCTTCCACCCATCTCAAAATGGTGTTACGGTCTGGTACTGTCGCCATTTTGAAAGTACCGACGCACAGTGAACACACGATGCTCAACGTTCCAAACCATCTTGCCAACTGAAACGGCGCTTCTCCCACTATCCAACTCGCCCTTTCTCACCGTCACAGGACCAGCCTACTCGATGTAGTACCCATTCGAAAAACATGCGTTCTTTCTGACGGACCCTGTACCTTCCCTGACCTCCTACAACCCCCAACCCCCGAATTTCAACCCCTACAAAAAAAAACAACAAAACGCGAACGACTGATATTTTCACCAGTATTTAACAACTTTCCCCTAATTTATTGACGTAGAATAGACACCACAGAAATAATTTTTTTTGATACATAAAATTAGAGGAGTTTTTTACCCCTCGAATCAATTACGACCCTCTGCGTATAATGCACCCTATCAGTTCACAGGTATAGTGGGAGAAATAGTTTCTGTACAAACAGCAAACACACTTCACCTAACATACTAATTTATTATGTACCCTTGTAAGGTGCCATGAATATTGTATCTATTCTGGCCATCAACCAGGTTTATTCAGTGTATATACACTTACAACTTTACCTCAGATGCTGCCACAGGAAATATATCACTGAATAAAATATATTCTCACCACTAAACTTTAGGGTGATCGTCGTTGGATATTGTCTACTATACGCATAGCCTCAGAATAGACGCATTTTTCAGCTTCAGACTTTTCAGTACACCTGGGTAGGCTGACGTTACTGAGCAAACCCGCAGGGATATCAAACTTGAAAAGTGACATTATGTCGGTTTTTTTGACATCCTGTGGGTTCTTTATCACATTATATAGGTTTTTCAACAAGGCGTCAACTTGTAACTACCTCCCGTTCATTTCATGCTCACCTGTAGCAAGTGCAAAATAAACTATTTGCATTCTAGCATATTTAAACAACAAGTTGACATTTTATAGTTTCTAAGTGTATATTAGTTTAGTACATTTTTATCTATTTTGCCTTTGCTTTACTTTTCTTGTGGTTTTGCTTCATGTGCGATTGTTTTCAATTTATCTCAGACAGAGAGTAGAGTAGATTTTTAAACAGTCTTTCTCTCTCTAGGGTTTTTTTTACTACCACAATGTTTGGCAACGAAGCAAGCAGCCCCTGCCCAGTGACGTACCCAGTACTGGCCACCTTTTGACCAGAGTTGAGGACATCTCGGCCGCGCCTGTCAAAGAAGACCTACAGATAAGTTTAATATTTAGGCGTAAAATATCTGTAAATATACTAAGTGACATATAAATCCGAACACCCAGTTTAAATGGTTTTATTTTAATAAAAGTTGGTGAATGTATTTATCTTACTGCAAATAACAAGTGAAACAATTTTCAGCCTTATCAGTTGGACATTCCGGTTTTTATACTGCTTTTTTTAAATTCACTAACGCTCTAAAAATGAATATTTCAGCCGCAGTAAAGAATCAGCGTTGGCGGATTTTGGTTCTTGACATCCTTTACGATCGGTTACGATGCCTAGAGTACGGAGACCTGTACGATTTCGTCAACTTAGTGAGTTTGATAGGGGCCGTATAGTGGGACTTCGGGAAGCTGGACTTTCTTTTCGGGCAGTTGCAGTTAGAGTGCAAAGAAGTGTAGACACTGTGGTTAGGTGTTGTCAGGCATGGCTTCGAGAAGGCCGTACGCAAAGAGCAAGGGGCACTGGACGCCGCCGCAGAACAACAGACCGTGAAGATCGCCGCATATTGGCCTTAAGGGACCGTTTCTCTACTACCAGGTCCATTGCAAATGAATGGTTTGCAGAACACGGAAGACCTATTGGCATGCGAAGTGTTTACCGACGAATGAGAAGTTTTGGCTTGTTTTAATACCGGCCACAGTGGGTCCTCCCTTTAACTCGAGAACACCGACGTAATCGCCTTGAGTGGTGCAGACAACGGTCACTCTGGGATCAGGAATGGAACAGTATTGTCTTTAGTGACGAGTCTCGATTTTGTTTAGGCACGCACGATGGTCGTGCCAGGGTTAGAAGGCGACGTGGTGAAAGGAGGAATCCAGATTTTTTGTTGAAAGACATGTTCATCACACTGTTGGAGTTATGGTTTGGGGTGCTATAGCTTATAGTTCCAGGTCACCTTCAATCTTCATCAGAGGTAACATGAACGCGCAGCGTTATATCCACGAAGTTCTAGAACCCCATCTTTTACTCTATCTTGACACCCTGGCAGATCCAACTTTCCAACAAGATAATGCCCGACCACCTGTTGCAAGAGTCACAATAGACTTCTTTCAACATAATGATGTCACATTGTTACCATGGCCACCAAGATCTCCCGACTTATCCCCAATTGAGCACGTGTGGGATAGAAGCACTTCGAGAGGAGTTGGTGGTTGCCTGGAATGAGATACCACAGGAGGACATTGACCACCTGATCCGAAGCATGCCTAGGCGCGTTGGAGAATGCGTAGCACATCAGGGTGCATCCACACATTATTAAAGGTCAAAGGGCTTTAAAGCAGTGCAATCATTTTGAAATTTTTATCATTTACCTATTATGCTTCATTAAGTACTTATACAAAATTTTATTAAAATAAAACCATTTAAACTGGGTGTTCGGATTTATATGTCACTTAGTATACTTCGGGCGTATACCATGGCAGACGTCTCGCGGGGTTACCTCGAAAAATGATTTTGTCAGGTTGTATTTAAGATTTATAACATCCCTTCTTTTTTTTATTACTCGCACTCCAGTAGTGGAGCTCATGTGCGTTTTTTTTATTAATCAATATATTGTGATTCATTTAATATCATGTTTCATTTGGCTCTCTCAGTGTGTACTGCTACTTAAATTTCGTCATCTCTGTTAGATTCTCCTGTTGTGTGGTGGTCAAGCAAAACAAGTACCGACTAACATCTCAGGGAGTTGTGGCTTAATCCGTCCTAAGTCACTGGCGCTCTTAACCCCCCTACTCTCCGCTTTATTGAGCTAGTACCTAAATTTGCAAGCCACTAGACAACTGTTTTGCTTGGACCAACCGTTAGATAGTATTTATCATTGTGTTTTATTAATTAAGCAAAAAAAGGCGTGATGTGAACAGGTTTTTTTTCAAGGGGATGGCTTCCACCAATTTGCAAAACTGCAACAAGATGCTACCAACTGGAGGAGAAAGGATGATGATTGGATGAATGGAAGACGTAGCACCCAAACCAAAATGACTAAACTTAAGTTACACAAAAAAATGGTTCTAGTCCACGAATTGGCGCTTGGGGCCTAATATCCTAGAGTCCGGAAAATGACGAAACGACCCCTGTGCCACGACGTCAACGGAAACAGAAAAGCGAATCACGCATTCTAGAAGAAGGTATCTTGAGTGGCCTTGAAGAAGATATGTTTTATAGGAAACCAACTAACGGAGAAAAACTACAGAGTTTTTTGCTGATCGTCAACACCATCCTGAATCGCTGAGGAAGAAAGATATAATACGATTGAAATTATACAATCAATAAACTATTAAATTTGCCCAAAGATAATCATTGAAAAGGGTTTGGCCTAGTAATGGGCACTCTATTATCGATGAAGAGAAATTCAAATTACGGATAAGTGATGAATAGTAAAAAAAAGTTTACGTGATTTTGGCACGTGACAGTCATTATATAAGTTCTTATGTATCTAGTTTTAGTACAGAATACACACTGGTATTAGTCGTTAGTTTTTGACGGAAATGATACTTTATCAATAAATGCGGTCAGAATTTCTACAAGACCAGTGCCATGACTCGAAAAGACGTAGAAGTTCCAAAGCAGTAACGAACATTGAGTAAAATTTGCTCAAAATAATTTGCTTACTTTTAATACATCGGGAGCTAGAACGTGCCTGATCTACATCATTAACGAAGCTTTCAGAGGTTTTTAAATTACGCGTACCTGAGCAGAAACCATTTGCCACCACCTCAAAGCCGTCGCTAAATTGGTCTAATTTTATAGAAAAAGTGAACAGAGCGGCATAATCGCACGTCTTGTGGTGTGCTCGAATACACAAAATTTTATGTTAATTTATTTTGCGCGATTCACAACGCAAGACCTATCTACAAATATAGAGAGTCACGCGTATATTGAATTCATCATGAATGAGGAAATTTCCTATTTTTTGAAGCACACTTAAAATTTTAAGTAGTGATGACGTCACATGACACCAGGTACCATCGCTTCCACAAGGCGATGCGCCCTTTCGCGCACGAATCGCGCCATTTACAAACGTTGCTCTCTTTTTTTCAGACATGTACATGATAGTAAGTCCGCCATTGTGGTCTTTGACAAATGGATCATACGAGGGATGTCTTTTAAGTTTTGCATATAGAAACATAGTAGGCCGCGCGGATCGAACTCAGTACTGAATCTTAACCTCGCTCTTTAGTAAACTTAAATTCAAAGTTTCACGACAATACGTGCAGTGTTATCACTACAGTGAATTCTTAAGTGTCACTAAGTCATTAGAAAAATGGAACTCAACCGAGAACATTTTCGCGCCATAATTTATTACGACTTTCAGAGACAATTATCGCAACAAGAATGCCTTGCTGAGTTACAGTCTGTTTTCGGCAACGAAGCGCCACATCAGTCGACAATTACCCGTTGGCATTGAGAATTCAAACGTGGCCGGGTGGGTCTTAGCGACGATCCCAGGGTGGTGCACCAAAAACGGCAGTCACCCAGGAAAACGTCGATGCTGTGCGCAAACTCATCATTGAAGATAGACATGTGACATATCGCGAGATTGCGGCGTCCTTGAAGATCTCAAAGACCTCAATTCAAAAAATTTTACATGAAGAACTAGGAGTAAGAAAATTAGTTTCTTGTTGGATACCCCACCTGTTGACTGACGAGCAGAAAGCAGCCAGGGTTAATTGGTGTCAAAAAACGCTTGACCTTTTCAATTCCGGAAACTCCAAAAATGTGTACAGCATTGTTAGTGGTGACGAATCGTGGATTTACTGTTATGAACCAGAAAATAAACGACAGTCGGCTGTTTGAGTGTTCCAAGGTGAAGAAAAGCCAACAAAAGTGTTCCGTTCTCGAAGTGTTTCGAAAAAGATGGTCGCGACATTTGTGTCAAAAGCCGGTCATATTGCAACAATTCCTCTTAATGAGCAAAGAACTGTTACTGGGGATTGGTATACCACCATTTGTTTGCCAAAAGTCATCACCGAGCTTCGAAAAATCAACCCCGAAAAAAGAATCATCCTCCACCAAGACAATGCAAGCTCGCACACAGCCCAAAAAACAAGGCAGTATTTAACGGAGGAAAACGTGGAATTATTAGACAATCCTCCATATACGTATAGTCCCGATCTAAGTCCTAACGATTTCTCTACTTTCTCGAAAATTAAAAACAGACTGCGTGGTAAAAGGTTCCAGTCACCAAAAGAAGCAGTTGACGCATTCAAAAATGCCGTTTTGGATCTGCCAGCAAACGAGTGGAATAAGTGCTTCGAAAATTGGTTCGAGCGCATGCAGATGTGTATTAATCTTCGTGGAGAATACTTCGAAAAACAATAAAGTCATTTAAAACTACATACCATGTTGTTTTATTTCCATATGCAAAACTTAAAGGACATCCCTCGTATCCGTTATCAGCGATCTGGAAAACGTAGAAATTTGTTTTTGGAAAAAAATAGTTAATCATTCTTTTCTTTTTAGTGCATTATTTTGACTTATCTGTCTGCCAAAGCCTACCAAATTGACAGCGCTGAATCAACACAATAATAATACTTCACCGATGGAAAAATCTACCTTCAATAGGGTTGTGTTGCCCTTCGCAAATTATGTAAAAAGTACCATGTCTTGAAATTGTTGTATGCAGTTTGATCCTCATTAAAGATTATGAGAATTAGTAGTTAAAGAAATCCTTGACTGGCTCTTTCTAACTTTTCTGAATTCGTAGATATACGGTGTATTTATGGTACAACTAGTGTAGGTGTGCTTGATGTTGGTCCATGGAGTATCTAACTACGTATCGATTGGTATCAGCATAAGCAATGTTTGAACCCCAGAATTTGCGAGAAGTCCAATTTGTGTGGGAGCGAGATTCAAAAACACAGATCATGTAAAAGAAATCTAGTTTGAATGGGTACAGCCTTGTAACTCTGCTTGTACAGTTGTGTAGTTAGTACGATAGGTTATAAATAATAGTCATACACAGGAAAGGAATTTCAACTCCACTGTGGATTAAATGCAAATTCTTTTCAACCATTCTTGTTTTTTGTAAAACTGAAATAGCATGAGAAAATATGGTACGTGGCGAAAGAGCTAGCAGAATTGCTAAAAACATTTTAGGAGCAATATATTTGCAATTTGGAGAGAATTGCGTTAATATTCACACAGAATAATACGTGAAACATAATGCAAACATATAAAGTAGCTAACAGAGCGTGAAACTGCTGGGGAGTTGGGGAGCTCTTACATATACTAAGTGACATATAAATCCGAACACCCAGTTTAAATGGTTTTATTTTAATAAAAGTTGGTGAATGTATTTATCTTACTGTAAATAACAAGTGAAAACATTTTCAGCCTTATCAGTTGGACATTCCGGTTTTTATACTGTTTTTTTTTATTCACTAACGCTCTAAAAATGAATATTTCAGCCGCAGTAAAGAATCAACGTTGGCGGATTTTGGTTCCTTCACGATCGGTTACGATGCCTAGAGTACGGAGACCTGTACGATTTCGTCAACTTAGTGAGTTTGATAGGGGCCGTATAGTGGGACTTCGGGAAGCTGGACTTTCTGTTCGGGCTATTGCAGTTAGAGTGCAAAGAAGTTTAGACACTGTGGTTAGGTGTTGTCAGGCATGGCTTCGAGAATGCCGTACGCAAAGAGCAAGGGGCACTGGACGCCGCCGTAGAACAACAGACCGTGAAGATCGCCGCCTAAGATTATTGGCCTTAAGGGACCGTTTCTCCACTATCAGGTCCATTGCAAATGAATGGTTTGCAGAACACGGAAGACCTATTGGCATGCGAAGTGTTTACCGACGAATGAGAAGTTTTGGCTTGTTTTCATACCGGCCACACTGGGTCCTCCCTTTAACTCGAGAACACCGACGTAATCGCCTTGAGTGGTGCAGACAACGGTCACTCTGGGATCAGGAATGGAACAGTATTGTCTTTAGTGACGAGTCTCGATTTTGTTTAGGCATGCACGATGGTCGTGCCAGGGTTAGAAGGCGACGTGGTGAAAGGAGGAATCCACAGTTTTTTGTTGAAAGACATGTTCATCACGCTGTTGGAGTTACGGTTTGGGGTGCTATAGCTTATGGTTCCAGGTCACCTTTAATCTTCATCAGATTTAACATGAACGCGCAGCGTTATATCCACGAAGTTCTAGAACCCCATCTTTTACCCTATCTTGACACTCTGGCAGATCCAACTTTCCAACAAGATAATGCCCGATCACATGTTGCAAGAGTCACAATAGACTTCTTTCAACATAATGATGTCACATTGTTACCATGGCCACCAAGATCTCCCGACTTATCCCCAATTGAGCACGTGTGGGATATGATGGGTAGGAGATTGCTCAATTTGCAACGTCCTCCTCAGACTCTAGAAGCACTTCGAGAGGAGTTGGTGGTTGCCTGGAATGAGATACCACAGGAGGACATTGACCACCTGATCAGAAGCATGCCTAGGCGCGTTGGAGAATGCGTAGCACATCAGGGTGCATCCACACATTATTAAAGGTCAAAGGGCTTTAAAGCAGTGCAATCATTTTGAAATTTTTATCATTTACTTATTATGCTTCATTAAGTACTTATACAAAATTTTATTAAAATAAAACCATTTAAACTGGGTGTTCGGATTTATGTCACTTAGTATATATCATCCACTTCTATGGAAAGGCAAATTAAAATTTCGTGAAAATAGGAAGCGGAGAGAAATTTTAACAGTTGGCTAAGGCAGTGGTAGCTCTTAAGCAGACTTTCTAGGGTTTTAGATTTTATTATATTTGTATGAATCGAATAACTTATCTGATGAAACTCAATCCTTATGGTAGATCAAATTAGCTTAGAGCGCAGTTTAAAGTGGCTGGTGTTGTACGGACGCATCTGTCAAATGTCAGCATTATGCATTGGTATACTAGGTTGCACTTATTTCTACAATCATACTTTTGTCAAAATGCCAGCTATTTTCCTCCATTTAGAAGTGCGATGTTAGCTCTACAGCAGCTAACGAATTGAGCCAATACACTGAGGTATCAAAACTAAAGCATCGTACGCTACTGCTATCGCAGCGTGTCTTTGAATCGGCAAGTCGGTGCGTGAGGATTCCGCCTTATCCAAAGACACGCCTCGTTTACAGTGGCGTACAATATGTTTTGCAACTCTCTCTTGTTTCGGTATCAGACTATACTGCCGTACTTAGGTAAAGTTTATTTGCTGTATTTTGTATTTTTTAACATTTAAAATTTAACATTGATCACGTGATTCAAAAAATTGTTGTTTTCTGACTTGTCAAATATTTCATCTTGATTACATTTCCTGAGCATGAAATCAGTCTCCCAATTTATCGAAGTGAAAAAGCAGTAGTTTTCAAACTATACTGCTTTTATTCTCTGTATAATACAAGTACTGCCTTTTTACCATTTATAACGTATTATCATGTTTACTTATTTATTTTTAGAAAAATATTCTTCGTGTCGAATGAATGAATGAATCTTGAAATTAGAGGCATTCCGGCCACCATAAGGAGCCAGTGCATAGCCCGCTTAAGCGGGCCCTTATGCACCTCTACAATCCTTAGATCACAAGCCTCGCCCTTTTAGCGGAGTTGAGAATCGCCTTGAGTCCAAGCTCCTTGACGTCCTGAGGGTCCAAAGTAATGGACCCCAGTATAGTCTGCCTAAAGTAGCTCAGAGCTTCACAGCGACACAAAACGTGCGCCGAGGCCTCTTCCTCTACTCCGCAGCGTTCGCACAAGGGATCCTCAGCCACCCCCATCACGTGCAGGTGCCGCCTTAACGTGTTATGGTCAGACAACAGTCCCACCAGCAACCTTAGGTTGGCTCTACCCAGAGATAGGCAGAAGCGTCCATTCTTAGCACTGGGCCCTTCAAAGAGTTCCCGTGCCTGGCGGAGATGTCTGGAGATACCTCTCCATTTCTGAGAATGTTGTCTTGCAACCCACGTCTCCATTTTCCTCCTAGCCTTATTCGCGGACACTACTAGAGCTGGCTCAGGACCAACGAGCTTGCTGGCTGATCCTGTCTTCGTCAGAGTGTCCGCCGTCTCATTGCCCCTTATCCCAGCGTGCCCAGGTACCCATATTAATGATACCGGATGCCTCGCTGCGAGGCAATCCAGAGCCTCCCTGCATTGCAATACATGACTCGAAGTAATCTTACAGGCACTTAGTGCTTTCATTGCAGCCTGGCTGTCGGATAAGATTGTTATTCTTCTCCTAGGCTCACCCTCTTCCAGAATGTGAGATACACAAGCCAGAATCGCAAAGATGTCCGCCTGGAAAATAGTGGTGTATCCACCGAGCGGAAGAGATAGCCTAGTTCTAGGCCCAGAGACCCCAGCACCTGAGCCCTCTTCGGTGACCGAGCCGTCCGTGTACCAGACCTGGCCGCCCACTCCGGAGAGTCCCCGGCTACCGGCGTCCCACTCTTCCGTCGTTGGATACTCCACAATAAACTTGCGGTTGAAGCGATAGCGATGGATTAATAAAGACATTATTATTATTATTATTATTATTATTATTATTATTATTATTATTATTATTATTATTATTATTATTATTATATTTAGGGGTAATAGGATCACCCCTGCTTAGAAGGACAGGGTCCTCCCTTTGCAATTCGACTAAGATGGAGGTATGCCCCTTGACAGGATTCAAGAAAGCCCAGCTACCTTGACTCTACAGTCGATGAGCGACTACTCTCGCTTCACCGCGGATCACAGATCCAACGGTGGGAGATCAAACAGAGCTTCCATTGCACTCAATGGCGTTGTTCGCACTGCGCTTGTAATACTAATACACGCTGAATTTTATTGAGTTTGGCCTTAGTTGTCTCAGTTCTAATGCAAGGCCACCAGACCAGGGAGCCGTACAAGAGAGATGGACATACTATCGTCGTGTAGAGCCAGTATACCACTTTGGGTTTAAGCCCCCACCTTACACCGACAACTCGTCTACAGGCCCACATCGAATTGCGAGCCTTGCTAACCTTGTATTCAACATGCTCTCTCCAGTTCTTCGTGTCACTAAGATATTTTTTGTTGTTGAATGCAATTCTATGATTATTAAATTGAAGTTTTAGTTGAGGAAAATATTTACTTTTGTGCTATTTATATGAATTTCAATATGAATGAATGATATTAAGATAAAATATTTGAAAAAATAATATAAATCGATTATGAAATCTGAGAAAAAAGGCAGTAAATTTGCTTTTACATTCATATACATGTATTCATTTTGGGTCTCGATGAAGTCATATAATGTTGCAATATTCACTTTTGTTGCGACGTAATAACAGTATTTATATATATATATA